GCGCACATCGCCCCGACGTCGCGCACATAGGCTCGGTTTGGGTTCCCACTAGCTGCGCATCAACAGACGACCGCAGAGAATCCTGAGGCTCGGGCTATTATGTGGTGAAACGGCGGGTGGGGATGAGCCAGACGGCTTGCTATCGTGAGCGTGTCTTGACCCCTTCCCCATACCCCGCCCCCTGGAACTGGACGGGGTCGGTCGCGGGTAGTTAGAGCGCCCAAAACGCCCTCGGCGAGGAAACCAAAATCACTGGTTTTACCTAGGTTTGGGCTACAGGTTGGCCCCTGGGGGGGGGCAAGGCAAATGGCCCCCTCCCCCCCCCGTCCAATAGGGCCCCGAGAGGCGCTCAGGAGGCCATCAGAGGCTCCAAGATGGACTCTAAATGGCTCCAAGAGGACCGCAAGCGGCCCCAAGAGACCCCCCGAGGCACCCAAGAGGCCCAATATCCCCCCAGGACCGCCGAGAGACCCCAAAGACGCCCCAAGAAGCCACCAAAAAGCGCCCATGACAGACCCCCAGAGGCTCCGAGGGGCATCCAAAGAGACCTCTGGCCCTTTTGCTTGCCCGCCTCCTCCTCCTCCTCCCCCTCCTCCTCCTGTTCCTCCTCCTCCTCCTCCTCCGCCTCCTCCCCATCCTCCTTTTCCCCGCCCCCTCATCCATCCATCCAGTTTCACCCTTCTCTTCCTCCCTCTTTCGCACGGTTCGGCCGTTCCCCTCTTTGCTCCCGCACGTCCTTGATCACCTCAACTCGCCTGGACATCGTTTCTGGGTGGGTTGGCGGGGAGACGATTTGATCGCGACCGCGGCGGGACGATCGGGCGGCGTCAAGGAGCGATGCACAGAGGCGACGGCCTAAATTGGCGCACGGGAAGAGGAAGGCGAAAACAGACAAGACCAAGCAGGGGAAGAGGCTGACAGGAGGCGAGCCTCGCTGCCGCTCACTGGAAAACGCACGCCAGGAAGTCCACCCGGGCGACGTGCAGCACCAGGTGGTAATTCGGGTAGCCAATCACGTCCCTGACGAGGAAGACCGCCGGCAAGACGCACAGCAAGCCCAGGGCAGGACGGGGGATGCGGAACGTATGACAGCAGGCCACCGTCACAAAGGAAAGACAAAGCATGCGGGCGCTCAAAGGAACCGATCCGGATCGCCAGGCTGGTGGGGATACGCGAAAAAACTGAAAGTTCGCAGATCCGCGCGAACTTTTTAGATCGGCGCTGACCCCCTCTGGGGCGGCGAACGCAAAGGGTGGGGCCCATCGCTCGCCGATCTAAGAAATCCGCGCGGGCCTTCCAGAATGCATGTTAGTGCCCAGCGTTTTATATGTGTATATATATATATATATAGATACAAGCCCCCCCCCATTTTTTATACATCAAAAAAATGATTTAGAGAAGGAAAAAATAATAACACCACACAAAAAAAACGAGCTGCAATACTGGAGGCCGACTGGCATGAAGGAAACCGGCGCTGAGAGAAACGGGACTAAAGACAAGGAGGAGGAAGATGGAAGAGGGAGGGAGCGAAGGATGGAGGGACGAGGGAAGAGGTGGGGCGTGGGGAGGCAGAGGGGACAGGAAGGAGGATGAGAAGAGAGGACAAGGACATAGAGGATAGGAGGAGGAGGAGGAAAGAGGAGGAGGAGGAGGAGGAGGACGGAAGGGGGAGGGAGGGAAAGGAGGAAGAGGACCCGGGATGAAGGATTTTCCCCGGATGTTGTTCCGCGCGCAGCGCCATCGTCCGCCCGCTGCACGAACTGCTGGGCGCCGCGCGACCGAGGCCACCGCACCCGCCGACCGCGTGCAGGGCCCTGCTCGTGTCCGCACGCCGGCAACAGTGCTGACACTATGGCGGAGCAGGACCATGCTCCCGCCCGCACCGCCAGGGACCCACGAACCCAAACTTCAGCACGAACTGTCTCGGCGGCTTTGAACTAGAGGGCAGAAGATCCACCCCGATAGCAACCATCCCGACACGCAAGGCCTTTAGTAAACGCGCCCAAGGAAAGAATCGAACAGGGCAGGGCTGTTTAGTAAACGCCCATGGCCGTTGAATTAACGCGAATTGTCCGGTCTGGTTGGTTCTTCCTCCCCTGATGAACTTTAGCTCCAGTTCCCGCACTTCGCTATCTCTCGACTCGGTTGCGAGAGGCCTTCAGCTTGTGCTCCACGCCCCTCTGACGCCTTCTTCACGCACGGCTCCAGCAGCTTCTCGCTCAGCCTGCACGTTTCTGTTTCCTGCTGCTGGCCTCGCGAAATTGGCCGTAAGATGCCAGCTAAACCACATGCTCACTCTCGTCACGTGTATCATAGCATGTGTCGGGCGCGTCGCCACACCACCTGCCAACACTTGGCGTCTTCTGTTTCTCGGGCCCGACGTTTGAATAACACTCCGCTTCGTTAGCCAATCGTTCGGCACTCTTGTGTTAATTGCCGTAGTCCGCGCGCGATTCCGCGCGTGCGTTGCAGTTCCATGTTCGTCGGCTGTACTGCAGGACGCGTAGAGATGCCAAGACCAGCCTTTTGGTGTCCTGCTCGGCCTGCGGTTCTTCTTTTGTTTGCTGATTCTTCTTTCTGCTGAACTCCTCGCCCCCCATTGTCACGGATGGGAATCTCATAATTGACTGCAACGTTGCCCTGCACATTATTTTCCTTAGCTGAATTCCAACGGCGCTCGCCCATTAGCAAGAGTCTTTTTGGTGGGCCATGATGTCCTGCAGTTCCCACTGCCATGACGTCTGCCTGTCGTCTTCGCCGCCATGCTTTTCCAGAGCATCCTCTCAGCCGCGCTTCTTCACTGTCCAAGTGGTTTTCGAGAAGCTGGACCGAAACCACTCCATCGCCTCGTGCCTCCATTGCCAAGCCCAGCTTGTGCCGCGATTCGCTGCTGCCGCCGAGGAAAGCCACCATGGCGTACTCTTTCTGCCTCCACCCGCAGCAGAGCATATCTGAACCTGCTCAGAAAACCACATTTCTATGTTTTGGGTGCGTACCAATGCGACGACCATCGCGTGCATCTCCACTCTTTGCTTCGACTGCCTTGCCCAAAGTAATGGTCCTGTTCTGCCAGCGATGTTTCAAAGCTCGCACTTGCGCGCCGCCGCCCAGCCCCATCCACATCTTCGGTATTTCCAAGCGCCTGCTTTTCATATCCGCCGCCGTCGCCACCCTCGCACAACGTCTCTTCTGCGGAGCCCCGGCCGAATCGAATGAGCCTGAAAACGCGCCCGGGGACCCCCCCTAAGGACCGTCAGGGGGGGCGAGGGAGGGGGGGGGTCAGCCAAAAGGCATTCTCGACCCTGTCGCTCTCTAAGTGCGCCATCGGGAAGATGATGGCGTCTACGGTCTCGCACGCAGTCGGCGTCGTCCACGTCGTCGGGGGTGCGCCGCCGAGTCAGAATGCTGGTGCCTTTTCTGCTACTGCTCGCGCGCTCTCGAACAAATGCTTTGACGCCTGGTAATCCGCGTGGTTTTCTTTGGGAAGGAGGTCCTCCCATATTCCGTGGAAGCCCATGCCTGGCATGCTCGAGTTTTCATGTTACCCGGCCACGTTCCAGCGCACACTTCGAGCAACATTGCCCGAAACTCTCGACGTTTGCCGCGCCGGTGTAGTTTCTGCAGCTGCATTGTTACGTCCGTCATGTCCGCACTTGTTCCAGACTCTGCCGTTTCTATGCGCTGCTGCCCCTTGCCACGCTTTCTTCACCGCGTCCTTCATGAGGTGGTCCATCACATCCGCGGGGTCTGCTTCGCGCCCATCTCGCATGGCCCATGCACCCCCTGCGCTGCATGTCCAGGTCGTCGGCGAGGTGGCGTCCCATCCCACTTCCCAGAGCTGCAAGGTCATGCTGCCGATGAGGCCTCTTCTTTTCCTCCACCCTGTAGCCTTTGGCGCCTTTGACTGGTCGTTCCTGATCAGCGGCCGCACTCTATGTGCAGCAGCATGCATTTCTTGGCGCATCGCCCACATGCCGAACCAAGCTTTCACTTGTGCCCGCGGAATGGCCTCAGCGGGGCCCCTGCCTTCAGTCGCCAGCAACGCGCTCAGACAACGTCCCGCCCATGGTCTTTTACAAGCTTTGCCGCACTGCCTCTTCGCGGGCTTCATCTCCTTGGGTGAGCTGCCAAACGCCTTGCAACCATGATGCAGCGACGTGGTGATGTGTGATGAGTGAAGTGTGATGTGTGATGTGTGTGTAATGTGTGTGAGATGTGTGATGCTTGTGATGTATGTGGTGTATGTATGACGTGAGTATTGTGTGTGATGGGCGTAATACGTGTGTGATGTGTGTGATGTGTATGATGTGTGTGTGTGATGTTTGCCATGTGTGTCATGTGTGTGATGTGTGTAATGTGTGTGTGATGTGTGCGTGTGATCTGTGTGTGATGTGTGTATGTGTGATGTGTGATGCGCGTGTGATGGGGGGTGATGTGTGATGTGTGTGTGTGTGATGTGTGGTGTGTGTGATGTGTGTGATGTGCGATGTGTGTGGTGTGTGTGATGTGTGTGATGTGTGATGTGTGTGCGATGTATATGATGTGTGTGATGGGTGTGATGGGTGTGATGTGTGTGATCTGTGTGATGTGTGTGATATGTATGATGTGTGTGATGTCTGCGGTGTGTGTGTGTGTGCGATGTGTGTGATATGTGTGATGTGTGTGATATGTGGATAGGATTTGTGTGATGTCTGTGTGATGTGTATGAAGTATGCTGTGTCGTGTGTGTTGTGTGTGCTGTGTCTGCGTGGTGTGTGTCTTGTGTGGGGTGTGTCTTATGTGTGTGGGTTGTGTGCGCGTTGTGTGTGTTGTGTGTGATGTGTGTTGTGTGGTGTGTGGTGTATTGTGTCGTGTGTCGTGTAGTGCTTGTTGTGTTGTGTGGTGTGTGACGAGTGTGATGTGTGTGATGCATGTGTGTGATGTGTGTGATGTGTGTGTGTTGTGTGTAGTGTGTGTTTTGTGTTATGTGTGTGTGTGGTGTGGTGTGTGTGGTGTGTTGTGTGTGTTGTGTGCTGTGCGTTGTGTTGTGTGCGTGTTGTGTGTTGCGGGTTGTGTGTTGTGTGATGTGTGTAGTGTGGTGTGTGTGTGTTGTGTGCTGTGTGCTGTGTGTTGTGTGTCGTGTGTCGTGTGTGCTGTGTGTTGTGCGCAGTATGTGTTGTGTGTTGTGTGTTGTGTGTTGTGTGTTGTGTGCTGTGCGTTGTATGTTGTGTGTTGTGCGTCGTGTGTTGTGTGTTGTGTGTGTTGTGCGTTGTGTGTGCGTGTGTCCATGAAAGCCCTTCTGCGCGACGCAGGCGGTGCAGGCTGCATGTGACCACGTGGAGAGAACGGCGCAGAGACACGTCGCGCTAGCACACGTCCCGAGGATCATCCAGCCTCGCAGGGCTCCCCGCAGGCCCGCGCGCCGATGCTGCCCAGGCTGCAGGGGGCTTCGCGCGCGCACGCTGCGAGGCGGGAAGTCATCCACAACCACCGACCGACTGGGGAATGGATCTTCGGGGACCTCGGCGGGCGGCGGATGCGGATGTGTGTGGCGCCCCCGGGCCCGAACATTTCCGCATCCGTCCCCCGGCGAAGTCCCCGAAGACCGACCCCGCAGGCGGCGGTGATTGAAGGGGCCCTGGGACACACAAATAAGTACACACAAATAAAAGGATTCCCCACATTTTCCTATATTGTCTGGGTTTTGTCTTCCCCCCCACTTCCCATATTTTCCTATATTTTCCTGGGAGTGGACGATGATTTGTGTCTGTGTGTTTTTTCCCCTCCTGAGTGATGGATAGACCCGGGCCTCGAATGCCTGGCTCTCCCCAGCTGCCTCCAGGTAAAAGGAGGCGACACGTGCTTGCTCCGAAGAGTGCCCAGGATGTCCAAGCCGACCAAGGTGGGAGCCAAAGGAGCGAACGAGCGAGCGAACGCCGGAGTCGTGCGCGCCCCGCCTGGGAGCCCGCCCGTGCCCAGCAGGGCACGGCGTGGAGGCCGTGGCCTCGGAAATGCGAGTTTGCACCTGCCTGTCGCTTCGGCGAGGCGCGCCTGCCGAGAAACGACTCATCTGACGAAATGTCGCCATACATGTTGAAGTACCGCACGAGAAGCATTACGTCAAGAACCCAGCGTCGGGATGAATCCGCCTCGCTTCGACACTTTCCGCACTCTATGCACAAGCGTGGACGCCACGACAGCGTGGACACACGAAATGGGCCATCGCTCTTCTTCCAAAGGTGGGAACCTTAGGACAGACGGGCCAGGAGGCCTGGTCCTCCTCCACTCGGGAGCGGCCAAGAGGGGGGTGTACAAGAGGGGTGAGTGCAAATCATGACCGGCGGCATGTGCGCGGCCCAGCGGGGGGGCCAGGGACGTAATGAAATAAGAAGAGGCGCCATGAAATCTGGGGAAATATCATGGCCCCCGCCATGATATCCACCCCCCCCCCTAGTCATCACCCCCCTCTTTTCCGCTCCCGATCCACCTCCTCCGGCCCGTCCTCGCGGGCGCCGAGGGCGGAGAGGCCGGTGCTCCCAGTGATGGCCTGAGCACCTCGACCGACGGGCCGAGCCCCGCGAGAAGCCCGCCTCCGGCCGGCGGCGAGCGCGGAGGGGGATCGGGAAGGGGCGGGCCTTCTGGGGAGGCTCGGAGGTCCTTCCTGGCGCGCTGACCGCTTGTCCGAGCCTTCCCTCAAGGCACACACGACACTCCTCGGAAGGCGCGGGGGCTTCTGAGAAGTCCCGCCGCCTTCTGAGAAGGCATTCTCCCTCTCGCTTCCCTCGCCCGCCGTGGGCTAGAGCCATCGGCGTGCCTTGATCGTCCAGCTTGATTGTCTTGACATTTGATCGAAGTTCTTTCGGCTGTCCTCGGCCTCCGGAGGGGACGGACGCTCTTGGGTCCGGGAAGGGGGGTGCTGTCGAGCAGCAACCGCTCGGGATGAGGAGCTGTTGAACGCACAAAGACATACTAGTACTATCTGTTCTCCTTGGAGGCGTGCGTCCAACCCGAACATCTAGTATACCCATCTTGTAGTACATCGTTTCCCGAGCGGTGTGGCCAGAAAGCGCCCGCCAAGGCGCATATATACTATGAGCTTTCTCGGTGCGCGCGTCGCCCCTGGGGGGGCGACGCACGTATAGTATTATAAGTACCCTCGGGGCGTTGACCCAAGGAACCTTGAATAAGGAACGAGGCCCCCCTTCTGCCCACAAGTTGAACTTCGGTTTCCCATGGGAAACCTCAGGACCCCTGAGGCAAATTGTAAAACAATGAAGGAACACCGAGCCCCTCCCCAACGAAAAGGGTTCCTACTTCGGCGCCCCGACTGTATGTTGGGGTGGCGCCTAAGCTGGTCCCGTGGTCCAGAGGCCTCCGGGAGGCCCCCGGGAGGCCCGCGAGGGCCAGGGAGGCGTCGAGGTCCCGTGGCGACGAGCGGTGGCTGCGAGCCGCGGCCCGCCCGGGGGGATCCTTCGACAGCTCGTAGGCGGAGAGCAGGCCGCCGAGCGACCGGATCGTGGTCTGCGCAGGAGGGGGGCAGCGGCGTCAGGAGAGGAGGAGGAGGACGACGAGGAGGAGGAGGAGGAGGAGGAGGAGGAGGGAAGGACGAGGAGAGCGAGAGGGGGAAGGAGAACCAGGGCCAGGAGGAGAGGGAGGAGGGGAGAGGGAAGGAGGAGGAGGAGGCGGAGAGGGAAGAGGAGGCAGAGGAGGAGGAGGAAGAGGAGGAGGAGACAGACGAGACAGAGGAGACAGAGGAGACAGAGGAGGAGGCAGGCAAAGGGAGGAAAAGAAGAAGAAGGAGGAAGAAGAGGAAGAGGAGAGGAGGAGCAGGAGGAGGAGGGGGGAGGAAGGAGGACGAGGAGGCACGATGAGAAGGAAGACGGAGGAGGACGACGACGACAACGACGGCGTCGGCGGGGAGCAGGAAGACGAGGACGATGTCGGCCAAGACGAAGAGAGCGGGGACGGCAATGACCTCGAGGCCCACTCTGGCGACGACGATGACACCAGCGAAGAAGAGGGCCACAGTCACGACGACCACGATCGCATCCCCGTCCTCAACCCTCCTCCTCATCCACGTTTTCCTTTTCCTCTTCCTCCTCCTCCTCCTCCTCTTCCTCCTCCTCCTCCGCCTCCGCCTCCTCCTCATTATGCCTCTGCCTCTCCCTCTCCCTCTCTCACTCCCTCTCCCTTTCCGCCTCCTCCTCCTCGTCCTCCTCGACATCTTCCTCCTCCTCCTCCTCCTCCTCCTCCTCCCTCCTCCTCTCCTCCTCCTCCTCCTCCTCCTCCTCCTCCTCCTCCTCCTCCTCCTCCTCCTCAACCATTTTCCGTATAGCCAATTCTTCCCTGTCGCACCCCGATACACGTCGGTAGAGCGGGCCGGGCGTTTCGACTGAGACGTCCTCATCATGCACGTCCTTCAGGTTTGAAGGCCCACCAGCCCGCTGGGCGTAGGTGGTCTAACGATGTTTTTTCCTCTTCCCAAGAAAAAACCCTGTTCCCTTCGGGAAGGGGTTTATCATTGTTCCCTTTTGATATACACCCCCTCCCCCTGGCGACTTGCAGCCAACCCAAGTCGATGAGGGCCCCCCCCACACAATCCTTGGTAATAAACCAATTCGCAACACACTTTGCCCCCACCATCCCTTTGTAAGTTATATATAATAATAATAATAATAATGTTTTTTTTTTTTTTTTAAAAAAAAAAAAAAAAAAAAAAAAAAAAAAAAAAAAAAAAAAAAAAAAAAAAAAAAAAAAAAAAAAAAAAAAAAAAAAAAAAAAAAAAAAAAAAAAACTCTCTGCCTCCAAATTCGGAGCATGCGCAACGAACCCGATGCGGCATTCCCCCACCATCCCTATCACAAAACAATACAGAATACACTTGGCGGCGGCGGCGCGGCGGCTGCGGCGGGGGCAGCGGCTGCGGCGGCGCGGCGGTGGCGGCGGCGGGGCGGCGGCGGCGGGGGCGGCGGCGGCGGCGGCGGCGGCGGCGGTGACGGCGGCGGCAGCGGTGGTGGCAGCGACTGCGGCGGCAGCGGCTGCGCGGCGGCGATTCGGCAGCGGCGCGCGGCGGCGGGGGCAGCGCGGTGGCGGCGGCGGCGGCGGACAGCGGCGGCGGCGGCGGCGGCGGCGCTGGCGGCGGCGGCGGCGGCGGAGGCGGCGGCGGCGGCGGCGGATTGGCCCCCAGTAGCTGGCCATCCAAAGACGACTGCTGCATATGCTGCGGTTCGGGCCAGGCTCGTGTGCTACGTATGTGTTGGGAGGGCGGGTGGGAGTGAGCGAGACGGTTTGCTGGCGGGGAGGGCGTCTTGACCCCTCCCCCGGCCCCCTCCCCTGGACTTTTTTGGGGGGTGTCGCAGGTGGTTGAAGGGTCCTTTTTCGGCTCCGGGGAAGGCCAATTATTGACACCCCTCACGAGGATCGCGGCCCCCGAAGGAGGGACATCGATGGGGACCCTCCCTCCTTTGATCGATCAACGCCTCGAAGATAGCCCCAAGAATCGTTCCAGGGTCCCCAAGAGGGTTCCAAGAGGGTCCCAAGAGGGCCCCAAGAGGCACCTGAGAGGCCCCCAAAAGGCCCCCAAGCGGCCTCAGAGAACCCAAGATGACCTCTAAGATGACACAGATTGTCCAAGCTGGCTCAAAATGTTCCCCAAGATGTTCCAAACGGCCCCAAGACCGCTCCAAGAGCGCCCAAGACCGCTCCAAGAGAGCCCCAAGAAGCGGGTTGCCGGCTCCTGATGGGGGGAGCTGGGTTGGGGACCCCCCCAGCCTGTAATCGATGGCCTCCAAGATGATCCCAAGAAGCCTTCCAGGGTTACCAAGAGGGTTCCAAGAGGGCCCCAAAAAACTCCCAGAGAGCACCAGCAGCAGCAGCAGCAGCAATAATACCTCTAGATGGTTCCATGAGTCCTCGTCAACGTCGTCCTCATCCTAATCCTCATCCTAGTCCTCGTCCTCATCCGCGTCCTCGTCCTCCTCGTCCTCCTCGTCATCATCCTCCTCGTCGCCCTCATCCTCCTCATTATCCTCTTCCTCCTCCTCCTTCTCCTCCTCCTCCTCCTCCTCCTCCCCCTCCCCCTCCTCCTCCTCCTCCTCCTCCTCCTCCTCCTCCTCCTCCTCCTCCTCCTCCTCCTCCTCTTGCCCTCGCCCCCACGCGCCCCTACACGGCCCCCAGGGATGGCCCGAAGAGGCCTTCCAACGCCACCCCCTTGCTCCCAGAGATCTCTCTGTTCACCCTGGTTGCTCGCAATGTTTCCCTAAATGTGTCTCTTCGTCCCTTTCCCCGTCAGCTCTCATGGACAGGGTTTTTGAATGGGCTGGTGGGAGTACTTGTTGGTCAACAGGCTCGAAAAGCGGGTCGAAAACCGTCCGAACACTAGTCGGGCCGCGACTAAGCAGCAGGAAAAGAAAGGCAAGCGAAGCGAGCGAGCGGGCAGCCACTCAGAAGGAGAGCCAGAACCGATACGCTCAAACCCGGTGGCGTTGGAAATCCCGGTGGCGACCAGCAAGTAAGCGCAGCCAAAATGGCGCGGCGGCGCGACCATAGACACGCAGAGGTCGATCGCTCGGTGTGAATCAGACAAACAGCACCGTCAGAGACGAACTAGACCGACAGGCACACCCGGACGACATCCGTGCCGTAGGCGACACAAATGCCAAAACATCGTGTCGGCGCAAGAGTGAAGAGGGGCAACCTCATCACCGACAAGACTGCAAACGGCAGTAAAACCTGCAACACTCGTCGAAAGCGAAGTCCATGCAGGAGAACGTCGGCCAACGAGCGTACAGGGGCTGGCGGGGAGACGCGAAGCGTGAAGAACTTGCAATGGCTTCAAGGATGGGGGGCGGGCCGTTTTCAAATGAAGCTCTCGCACAAGCGCCGCGCGCACTCATATTGAAACAGTGCATGACCTTCACGGATGGAGGGCGGACCGTTTTCAAAATGTGGCTCTCGCTTTGGCGCCGTAAGCAATCGTCTTAAAAAATTGCAGGAGCTTCGCGGACGGAGGGCAGCTCATGTTCGATGTGGTTTTCGACTTAGCGACGCGCCCATTCGCGTTAAAAGTTCGCAACCTATGTCAGGATGATCATGGCGAACGTCCCGAAGGTTGCATGTTGGAACGATGAACAACTACTTAACCACAACAGTTTCGTAAATTCGTTGCGATGAAGTCCCACGAAAGGCGTTCTAACACAACTCCGAATCGTCAAAACACAACAGTAAGGTTGATTCGTGGCATCGAAGCCCCAGGAATAGTGCGGTTGCACGGTTGCTGATTTTCAAGCGGGTGTCCTCCAAAGGGGTACTTCCCTCAGTGGAAATAATTCCTTGTGGGGGCATATGAATAGGCAGTACCTTAATGTGTGCCATAGCCTTTTTCTAACGATTGGCAAAAAATAGTATTGGTGGTCATATGACTTCTGCAAAGAATTAGTTTCCTAACTTGCCCTTCAAATACAACTGGAAGCTTGGAAGAAGGGTAGGTGCAGCAGCGTTGATGAATCTTGAGTTTACAGGGGTGCTCCTCCTCTCCCCGATGCAAAGAGCGGCACACGTCTGAGCGCCCCCCTTTCAGTCCACCCCACTGGGCGAACTCGTTACACCAACTCGAAGGACTGGCCGAAATCCACGACGATGAACGGAGGCCCCAGCCTGACCCGTGCTGAACAGCTGGCCGCCGCAGGTCGGGGCGCACGCAGTCCGCGCAGAAGTAGTCCTCGCACCCGCCCCCTGGACACAGGAACCATTCACAGCAGATGCGGCTCGAGCTCACATCGCAGATCAGCACGTCGCAAGACGCCGCCTCCCAGATCAGCTCGTGCCCCTCCGAGCACCAGCTGCGGCACCCCTCGAAATCCTCCTACGCGTCCGCCTCGACATCGACTGCCAGTTCCCCACCCTCAGAGCCTTTCACCGTGAGGGGTGGGACCCCACAGGATGCTGACCAGCCGTGGACACCAGCGCGTCGATGAGGGAGGGCCCTTCGCTGGACGAACGGCTGAGAAGCAGCGCCGCTGCGCCGGATGAAGCCTTCCATGACCTGGCGGTGCAGCTCCTCCAGCGGCACTGAGGACACTTGGCACCAGATCTGACTCTCCTGGCTGCTGCTGCGCCTCCTGCTCTGACACCCCGACGCACCCCAGGATCTCCACCTCGACTGGCCAAGCGTACGAACGCTTGATCGCCATCTCCTCGCGCTCCACCTGCTCCCATGGGAAGCCGCCAAAGAGAACGAAGTTCTTCGCTCACATCCGCGCTGATGTTCTCGCGCGTCACCGCCCACGCCACGAGCCCAGGGCCAGCCTGCGCGCGCAGCAGCTCATCCGCCCCAGCGCGGGAGATGCAGACACCCTCGGCGACGGAGTGAAGGCCCACGTTGCGGTGCAGTTTGTCCAGCCATCGCGGCTGGCTGCCAGCCGCCAGCGACGTGAGCGCGGGAAGGAGGCTGCAAAGTCGGTCCGCGAGGTCGGCGTCACCCACGAACGACACCAGGGACTCCTCCGCCAGCTACACCTGCG